TATGTCACATACCTGAGAAGCTGAGAGGAGAGAGCAGTTTGTTTTTTTTTACTCTTCTTCAGAAGCCACGATCTGATCGTGTAGGTAACCTAGGCTTCCATGGCGACCAAGCCTGTGCCTTGCGCCTTCAGCGCCATGGCGCTCGACATCAGCTCCATTATCTTTCACTCCGACTCTGCGATCTTGATCAAAGCCATCGAGTCCAAGTCACAAGTATTGGAGATCCATGGATATTTTCCTTAGCGTTTCTAGCTTTGCTTCAATCCAATTTAAGAATATCCCTAGAACAGCTAATTTTCAAGCTGACCTTGTAGCCAAACAGGCACTTAAAAATCTGGTTGTACCTGAATTTTAATGAATTGCCAAAAAATATAAGAGTACTTTGTAAAGAACCGTTTTCAGAAACAGATTTATTTCAATATTTGGCCAACCAAAATATGTCTTAGCCACAACGACTGGTAAATACAAATTCATCTACTTGCTTACTTGGTTGTCCTATTGTAATAGTTTGTAGTTTCCTTGGTAAACATTGGTACCTGGCAAATATGATCTTCTGATAGTGTTGGATGAAATTGGTTGTCATTCCATTTGCTCAGGGTCTTGCTAAGTATGTTGAGTGGAGTGCCAACATGATGGAGGAAGAAGCCAAAAAGAAGTTGAAAGCTGCACAACTTCAGTAAGAAAAACTATGCCCCTCCAACGCAAATCATGACCAGAACTTTACCCGAAAGGTAATAATTGCTTGCACAGATTTTTCTTGGTAAATGGAAACCTCTTCGTGGAGATTGCAGGATAGATAGTCGTTACTATAGAAACACAAAGCCACTCTAAAATGTTTCTCTTTAACCAGGAGAGAGTTATAAGCACGAAGAGGAAAGTCTCAAACTTGTCATCGAACAAGACATAACAACACTCAATAACTAAGCTAAGCAAGATAGAGAGTGAAACTTCACCTTCAAACCACCGATGCATCGATCTGATGACTATAGAAGCGGAATGGGTTTCAACAAGTGGACGCAAGAGTGTTTCTGCTCGTTCCAACAGAACTTCAATAACCTGACAATGAGTCTTAAGATCCAGCTCGAACCGGAGATGGGTTTTGGGCCAGCCGAGAGTGGTTTTAGGGAAAATTCAAGATCTGGAGGAATACAGTCGGTGTAAGTGTTGACCTAGGGAGTTTGGATTTGACATCTTTGAGATGAGTGATCCAATAGCGACGTTGCTACTTGCAAGAAAGAGATTTTGGTGACTATCAATTGGGAAGCGGATAATGTCGATGGAGTCGTCGAGCTCGAGAATCGTTTGAAGAATCCAACACTTGTGTGGAAAATAACCATTTAAGTGCTTTGAACAACCAAAAGGCCAATGCTTTTAACGATCTCAGTATACAACGGTCACAGAAGAGCCAATAATACTATTAAAAATTTCGACCCAAAATTGGAGTAAAAGAGCTAATTCCACTGCGACTCAGACATGAATGCAAAACGATCTTGTTACAAATTCGCTTCCTTGTTCCCTTGAGATATTGGTCTAAAAGCTTTGTATTCAAGAATCAACACTACTCCTGATCAAAACGCTGCGTTAAGTCCCACCAATGTCAGCTCCACGTGTCACAATTTGGTTGGTCGTGTCGATTCATCACCCATGAATTTGATAAACCTCACTGTCTCACTTGTTCTTCTTCTCCTTTCAGTTTATAAATGGTTTCAAAATGGACACACAACTAAGGAAGTCTAGAGCGGTTCATGCGTCACAACCCATCTGGAACAACAATTACAAGAACTGCAATTACTACGAGACAACCATATTAGTTTC